CCTGTAGTTCGGAGGTAGCCCCACTGCAAGGGTTAAGATTTAATTTGCTTTTCCTTTAAATTAAATTTTTTATGCATTTTTTAATTGCTTATGTAGTAGTAGAAACAGATCTGCTTTGTAGGTCTAATAGTCCTTGAGAAAATACAGGACTGAGAAAACATGTGCATTCACTGCTTGTTAAAGTGCTACTGAATACCAAATGCACTTATGTCACAAAGTAAACAAAATCTCCTTACCTGACTGAGCCAAATCTTCCTTCATTTGTGTCTCACGTGCCCCCACCCCAACCTCCCCGGAGCCACTGCAGCTTATGGTGGGAGGGTTTCTGCAGTAGAAGCAATGCTGCCAATCCAGAAAGCCGTTGACAAGACTGGGTGTGGCCAGGTGTTGATTGACAAGCTCCAGGCAGTGACAATGCTGATAGCCATGCACTCTGCAACATTTCTTCTTTCCACTTTAGTGCAAACAGATAAAGCCTACATGAGAGTGGCAACTCTGCTTTGAATTCTGGAGCAGTGCAGCATCGTTGACACCCCATAACAGGACGCTGCAGTAGGGGGACTTCACTAGCTTCAGTTCACAGGTATATGTGGGACTGTGCAAGGCGACTATACGAAAAACTATTAGTACAGATGCCATAGTTCTACTTTAGTATAAAATAATATCAGTTTTTCAGCACAGCATGTAAAATGTTTATCATGTTGGATGACCTAAGTCTGGACAGGTAGTTTAAAAGCACACCCCAAGCATTGTTAAATTTGAAGCCAGAAGGATGCACGAGGGACCAATTTAGACTAATAACATATATTTTTACAGCTGCTAAACAAACATTGGCTAGGACATGGAAGGCGGGTATCCCCTCAGTTCAACAGGTTAAGAACAAAATGTCCTAGTATTTGATTAAGGAGATAATGACAGCGATACTGGAAGATACAATCTTTAAATTTAAGAAGGTTTGGTTACCTTGAATTTATGCCAGTAGACCTGGATACAATTTTAGAAGGGAATTGATAGAAAAAGAAATCAAAGCCATTGGGTTCAGGATGGGGAGAGAGGGGAGGTTTTAGGGAGAGGAGAATGATAATAATATAGAAATATAAGGTATTTTTTGTTGGGGGGATGTTAGATGGAAGGAGAGAAGAGAGAGGGTCCCTTCAGAGGAGGGGATTTGAGGATTGAAATGTATAGATGGTTCATACCTGCACTACACCGCACGACACCCGGGGCGCGCGGTCCTGTTCAATGCAGGCAGCGATTGCCAAGTACCTTCTTTTTGCGATACATGACACGCGGCTGTTTTTTTCCCACCGTGGAATCGCGGTGGGAAACTGAACGATCCGCCCGGCGCGACTGGAGTACCATTAGAAAATAATGGCACCCACAGCGCGATCGGTTCACACCTTGGCGACTCCTGGCCATGCGGCAACCCGCGTGGAATCGTGAGGTGTCGCCAAAGTGTGAACCTAGCCCAGGGGATATCTAGACAAAGATTCTCTGTATTTTGTATTGTTTATTTTTGAAAAATCAATAAAAAGTGAAAAAAAAGCACAGCCCAAAATCTTCCCTGTGTTCCTCTTGGCAAGCAATGAAACCTGTTATCTCTCATCCAGACTTTATTCATTTAATCACTAAAAATACCCCATGAATAATCTCTTATCTAATCACACAAGAAACAGTTTAACCTTAAATGTTCATTATCGTATTGTTCTATGCTGACCATCGACTGCCAAAAATATCAGCCATGTCCTGCTGAGATCAAGCCTGAAGTCCAGGTCGGAATCTAAGTGCCTTTCATCATGGCAATTACGTCTGAAAATTGTCACAGCTAGAGCATGAAGAAGCCTAATCAAAGGCCAGAAAACACACCGAAATCTAGTCACGGGTCCATCCACGCCAAGATCACATTTCAGTTTTTGGTAGCTGTTGTAAAAGTTAAAGTGACATTAAAGGAGAACTATCGGGGCAGGGCTTTTCCCCATAGTTCTCCTAAGGGTAACGGGAAGACACAAACTAGTGTCCTCCCGTCACCCAAAGCTCAGTATATAGCGGGCTACAGACGCCGGAGCTGGGACAGATCCCGACATTACTGCCGCGATCCACCCAGTTGAGGGATTGACAGCTGGCTCTGCCTATCTAATTGTCACAGGTCGGCTAGAACTAGGAGGCTGAGTGATTTTCACTCGCCTCATAGTTCTCCTTTAAAGTCAGATTTTTTTCTCCCCTTCCCAATCCTGCTGTAGGGAATCATGCCTCTTTATTCGATCATTTTCTTCTTTCCAGTAGTTTTCAGCTGTCCCTCCAGCATTGGGTGCGGGTCTCCGATCCAGCGCTGACTCCTCTGTCCTCCTCTTCTCTGATGTCCCACGGTGTCTGTGCGGTTGTGTCTCTCCTCGTCTCCCGGCTGAACATCTAAAGTGCACATGTGCCCGCCCCAAGATCCTTTGCGGCCGCCAGAGGCTCTTCAGACGTCCAGACGGGAGCACGCGGCGAAGACACAGGTAAGTTTAAACCCGTTTCAAAAGGTTTTTTGTTTTTTTTTAAGTTTTTTCATATATTTACTGCTTGCTAGCCATAGATATATGCACAAAATCGTGAGGGTTTAATAACCCTTTAAAGGTAAACTCCTGGCAAACAGCTCCATGCACAGATGAAATAATGGAGGTGTTAAAGCTGCCAAAGAATGTGTAACTTTGTCCATCCAGCCCTGAGATTTACGCAGACCTCAAGATACAGATGGAGGGAATCACCAGCACTCACAGGATGCGAATTGCTTGTGTATCTTTATTTAACATGCGTCACATATGTCAATTAAGCCAACGTTTCAGGGCCACGCAGGGTCAATAAAGAGCTGGAGTTTAGCTTAATGATTTTTCATCTTTCTCCTAAGCTGCCCATACTTGTGAAAATTCAATATTTAAATCCCAATTTTGATTAGTTTTTTTGTATCAAAAAGAAGAATATAATACATAATACATTGTTTGCTGTTGAATTAAAAGTAGAGGAAGTGAGTGTCCTGTAGCCCAGGCAGACAGCAGAAAGGCAACTGTGCCTCGGCAGGAGGAACACTGTGGTCCAGCATCAGACCGGGGCCTGGGGTTGAGGACCACTGTACTAAAGGAGTTGTGAATCGTTACACAATAAATGATGTGAATAATTTTAGTTTTCATTACCAATTTGTATAAAAAGCAAATTCCTGTTTACTAGGGATGCACCGATACCGAAACTCGGTTACAGCGAGTACCGAAAGCAAAATATCGGTACTCACACTCGATTCCGGAAAACTGGTATCGGTGCATCCTACTGTTTACTTTGTAATTTCAATCATGTGCAGATTAGGGATGAGCTCAAGTTTGGACTGAGCCCAGACCGAACCTGAGCTCTCTGAACAAGAAAGTGCCTTGGCCAGAGGTGTGTCTACTATAAAATGCACCTGTGGCATCCTGCCGAGCTCTTGGCCACCAGTGACTTCACTGGTGGCCAGAAGCTGGGTGGGATGCTATGGTCAGCATCCTGTCGAGCTCTTGGCAACCAGTAATGTCACTGGTTGCCTGGAGATCAGAGGGATGCCTGCCAGAGAGAAAAAAAAGTCAGCAGTCTCTGTGGGTTGGCGAACGTTTGCTGAACCACGGAGAGACATCCTCCCCCTTGTGGTGCACAGCGCATGTGCCACATGTGCCATGCCCTAGATACACCACTGACCATGGCACTTCCAACCAATCAGCTGCAATTACTGCTCTGCAGCTGCATGTAAACATAGGGGTGGGATGCTTGTAGTAAAATAATTTATGGTAACATGTAATTTACTAAATATAGGCATGTATCCATATAAGGTAAACAAAGTCACTGCATCCCGCCATTTTCCCTATATCATCAGTGGGTGGGGAATACCCCATACACAGCTGACTGGATGACACAGAAGTTGTTCTTTCCTGGAGGGGCTCAAGTTTGGACTGGGTTCATCATCATAGGAGCTCATCTTCAGACTGCTTTCATATCGGAGAAGCTCATGTTTGGACCGGGTTTATCATTGGAGAAGCTCAGGTTCAGATCGTGTTCATCATTGTGGAAGCTCAGGTTTAGATCGTGTTCATCATCGGAGGAGCTCAGGTTTGGACCTGGTTCATCATCGGAGGAGCTCAGGTACAGACAGGGTTCATCATCGGAGGAACTCAGGTTCACATCATGTTCATCATCGAAGGAGCTCAGGTTCACATCATGTTCATCATCGGAGGAGCTCAGGTTTGGACCGGGTTTATCATTGGAGAAGCTCAGGTTCACATCATGTTCATCATCGGAGGAGCTCAAGTTTGGACCTGGTTCATCATCGGAGGAGCTCAGGTACAGATAGGGTTCATCATCGGAGGAGCTCAGGTTCACATCATGTTGATCATCGAAGGAGCTCAGGTTCACATCATGTTCATCATCGGAGGAGCACAGGTTTGGACCTGGTTCATCATCGGAGGAGCTCAGGTACAGACAGGGTTCATCATCGGAGGAGCTCAGGTTCACATCATGTTCATCATCGGAGGAAATCAGGTTCGGTCCTGGTTTATCATTAGAGGAGCTCAGGTTTGGACTAGGTTTATCATCAGAGGAGCTCAGGTTTGGATTGGGTTCATTATCGGAGGAGCTCAGGTTCAGTCCTAGTTCATCATCAGAGGAGCTCAGGTTTGGACTAGGTTTATCATCAGATGAGCTCAGGTTTGGATAGTGTTCATCATCGGAGGAGCTCAGGTTCGGACTGGGTTCATTTGCAACCTGATTTTATCTCTAGTGCTAATGAAACCAGTAAACTTCCATCTTGAAGATTCTCAACTCCTCAACTCCTGGGTGGATTTTCCTGCTAGAAAATCCACCTCTCTTTGTTATAATTCTGAGATAGTTTCTCAGAATTGTCAAACTTTTCTTTTTTTACCTGACCCCAGAGTTCTTTCATGCCTACACACTTCATAGATCTTTACAATCAACCCCCAAACTTGTGTAACCCCATGCTAACTTACCAATACATAACAGGTATATTGCAGCACATATATCAGCTCCTTTTGAAAGTTTTGATTCAAATAGATCGTCATCTCTTTCAAACATTGGAATAAGGCCACCGTATCCAAAGAAACTTTTATTTGTTGCCATCTTGTTTCTGGTGTCATTTATCCCTAGAGAGAAAGACAAAGTTGGTAAATACTTTAATAATTTAAAGATCAAGTGCATTCGTAGCATCAAGTTTATGATGTAAATATAGCGCTCACCCCTGAAGGAGCCGCTGATTGCCAGGTTCATCTCTAGTCTGTCTAGGGTATGATGCCCACCCAATAGCATCCACCGCCCTTCTTCTAGTGCCCATAAACTGATTCACTCCAGTAGTATAATGCAGAATAACTTTTACTGAGCATCTTCACTGGGGAGAGAGGGTATAGGGATTCTAAGCTTCCAGGGTGTAACAGACATAAGCTCCAGACTCACCAGACCTGGTTGGCATATCAGTGTAGATCCACTTGAGAGTCAGCGGAAGGCAACGGAAGTAGCAGATGAGCAAGGATGAATACAGATCCTCAACAGGAGAGACACTCCTTATGTTCCAGGAAACTTCAAGAGCCATCATTGGTCCTGCGTCTCTTCCTCTGACAGTAACACAGACCTCCTCCATGCTGGAGGCCTCAGGGAAACCTTTCCCTCACAGCAAACTATACCCACCCCGAGGCCTCCGGCCTAGCCTGGGGGGCAGGCTAAACAGCACCCAGCCCTAATCCATGGCTGGTCCCGGCTAGTCTGAGCACATGGCAAATCCCTCCAGTATATGTATCCTATCCCCCATACACCAGTGGTTGAGAGGAACCCAGTGATTGGCTGCTGAACAGTACATACACTACAGTGCCTCTCATTGGCTGTCCCACAATATGACCGAGTCACACTCCGCCCAGAGGGGTACAGGCAATGCCAGACACCAGGAATTAACCAGATAACTGCCACTATAATTGCAGCCAGGCTGACTACAGCCCTGGCTATCACTAAATGTCTAGTAGCCACATCACAGAAGGTGATGGGGGCTACAGAAATATTAGTCACTTTAAGGCCTCGTTCTCACCAGATCCCGGTCAGAACACACTGCATCGCATTGCGGCCGGCTCACTATGTTGTGGGGCAGGAGCGGGCGTGGTGGTCCATTGAAGTGAATGGCACCATACCCACGCCCTCCTGTCGCAATGCGATCTGCCGCAAGGGAACACAAGGCACATTATGCCGGCGGTCTGGTCTGGTCCGAACAAAATAGTGCTTGCAGCACGCCCCCCTCCTGCCCCACAAAATAGTGAGCCGGCCGCAATGCGATGCACTGCGTTCTGCCGGAATCAGGTCGGAATGCACTGTGTCTGGTGTGAAGGGCTTCCTTTCAGTCAGAATGGTTAAAGTTTGGAACTCTCTGCCATAGGCCGTGGTATCAGCAGAGAGTATTGAATCATTAAAAAATCAATAAGATACCTTCCTCAGAGACCATAACATAATGGGGTACAGGTACTCTTAAAAAGTAAGACAACACAGGGACTCATATACAGACATGCACTTACTACACACACACTTACACATAAAGGTTGAACTCGATGGACCTGTTAATTATTTAACTTCAAATACTATGGGGTCTATTCACTAAGCTGCCGTAGGCAGCCGAGTGAAAGACCAACCTGAAGTGAAGTGAGCCGAACGCTGTTCGGCTATTCACTTCAGGCTGGTACGGCTGATTTCAGCCGTATATCGGCTGAAATCAGCCGTACATCGGCTTGCTTCGCGTGGCTTCGGGTCGGCCGAACATGCTCAGCATGTTCGGCCGACCGGAAGTGCAGAAGGAGTTCGACTCAGCCGATCCAACATCTGGATCGGCTGAGCCGAACCTCCAGCATGCTACCCGCTGCTGTTTAAAAATAGTTTGCCATACTATTTTTTTCTAACATAACAAGCTTTTGTTAACTTCCAAAAGCCATTTCAACCAGAAATAAAGCATTTCAGAAGCAATTTGGCTAAAACAAATCTAACTACAGAAAAAAAAAAGATCAGAAGCTCAGCACAGTAGGAGGCCCAGCTCCTTTATATTACGATTAAACCATCAAATCATCATATTGGATTTCAGGGGTAGGCAACCTCTGCACTCCAACTGTGTTAAAACCACAAATCCCATCATGCCTCTGCTTCTGGGAGTCATGCTTGCGGCTGTCAGTCTTGCAATGCATCATGGGTCTTGTAGATCCACAACAGCTGAGGTGCCGGGGTTGCCTACCCCTGTACTATATAGTCAAATGTTTAAATGACTGAAGTCAGGTGCTTCCAGTGAAGGGTCCTGTTAATACTACAGCTAAGATATTTTAGAATATTGTGCCATTCAAACCTTGTAACGGTTTGGTGGAGGATATTTTCTGTTCCAGAATGACTGTGCCCCTTTGCCAAAATCCAGCTCCATAAAGAAATGGCTTGATGAGCTAGATGTGGAGGCAGGGCCGGATTCCCGGCAAGGCCACCGAGGCCCGGCCTCCGGGCGGCACTGAGCAGAGGGGCGGCACAGTTTTGAATCCCCCGACACCCGGAACATAGAGTTCCGGGCGCTGGGTGGTAATTTACTTTCTACATTTAGCCCTGCTTTGCACAAGCAGGGCTAAATGTAGAATAGGATAAATTACTTGTTTCTTTACAAGTGTTCTCAGCGAGAACACTTGTAATCAGAGTGCCGGTCCGTCCTCCCCTGCACTTACCTCTCTCCATGCTGCATCCTCCCGGCTCCAGCTCCGTCCTCGCCGCCGCAGCCGCCTTCAGAAGGGAGAGCAACCCTGCTGCTCCATGTAAACAGTGAGAGGGGAGAACTGTGCTCTTCCCCTCTCACCTGTCACAGAACTCCTGTATTGGAGGTGACAAAAGTCCCATATTCCCACAGACACCCTTCAACATCTTGTAGAAAGAATGGAGGCTGTTCTAGCAGCAAAGGAGGGGGTTTTGAAAGGGTATTGCCAACATGCTTAAATAGGTGTGATGGTCAGGTGTCCACAAACTTTTCGCCATGAAGTGTAAGTACAATCAGTCCTCTATCGATCAAATATATGATATGAGATAATGTTGCAGATTTGAAGTTTTCAAGTATTTGTTTGATGTAAGGCCCCTTTCACACAGGCGGTCTGATCAGGTCCACCTGTCGGTTCTTGAGACAGAGACGATTGGAGGCCCAATGCCAGTCTATGGGTAGCTGGAAGTAAATGGACGGGTGTCCATTTACACCCGTTACCCCGACTCTGGCCAGATCCGGAAAAAAATGGAACAGTGTTCTGTTTCATTGGACCTGATTGTGCCGGGGTCAGGGGATAATCTGATGTAAACTGACACATGTCTGAATACACCTGATCCCCCAAAGACCAACATAGGGTCTACGGAGGAAAAGCTGGACGTACACAGAAGTCACACCGTCGACATCTGATCCGTACTGTTCTGTTCAGGAGGGGATCCATTCACAGATCAGCCTGTGTGTAAGGGGCATTTATCAGTAAAATGTGTTAGTTTTTCCTATGACCCTTAAGGTGCCCATATACCTTACGATTATCGGCCGATTTTCATTTGCGATTGCGTTTACGTCCGATAAGGTTGATGGGCAGTGTACAACCGCAAATACTTTACAATCGTACGACTTTTGACTTTCCAGCAGGTTAGAAAACTTTGATCGATCGTATGATTTTCGCAAAGTTTGTGGCGTTTCCATACGTCAAAATTCGTACGATTAACACTGCTCATGCGCAAACTAAAATAAGTGCGGTCGAGTAACGCAATTCGTCCAGGTGTTTATTTTAACTACCGCTAATTGAACCTTGCGATGATCGGGGCAGGATGGGGCCGCCATATGAAAATCGTACGATGTTTCGATCATCGGACAAAAAGTTTTGTCTGATGATCGCAAGTTGTATGGGCACCTTTACTGACAAAAGTACATAGTGCTCTTTGTAATGAAGCAATTAAAGGAACACCTGCACCTTTCCAAGTCACACAGCAGCACAATGCATAGGTATGAACAGGCCTCATAGAAAATAAAGGGATTCCTATTGTCGTGCATTGTCGCACAACAGCCAATGTACCACGGAGTTGGTACCGGGTGACACGCTGCCGTGACGTAATCGCGCATGCACGTTCATCTAGGTGATACCTGCCGGCAGCCATCTTGGTGATGGATGCCAGCAAGAAAGGGGGGATATTCACCCGGTGGGATAAGGTATCTGTCAGTCATTTTGATGTCACCCCTCCAATGGTGTCACCTGGGTGCTGGCCGCACCCCCCAAGTGACGCATAGGGCTGTGCAGTGTGGCAGAGCCGTGCAAATCTCAGAAGCAGATGAGCAGAATTACAAATCCTTTGGCTGGTAATACAGTTTTTTTTCACATATGTATTCCATATCTATAATCAGCTGCCTGGACCTCAGCTTTAGCAGATTCCTAATTGGCTGTTCCTGTTCCACCATCGTGCTGCCCTATCTAATAATAACATGTCTGTGAAGGAAGCCCCAAGGTGAATTTGCAGAATTCAGATATACTTCAGCAATAGATTCTGTGTCTTTCAGTAGTTGGACAATTTATTTTCTGATGTCCTAATTCAGTCGGGATATTCACATGTCCTCACTGGGAATAGCGAGCCTAGAATGCCAATTATCTCACAAAGCCTGCCTTTGGGCCGTTCATTTAATTGTTCAAATAATCAGGAGTTCCGCATGTCTTCAAGGACAGCAGAACACAGACATTGTATTGCCTCTTATGTGAGTATTTTCTGATTCTCTACCCCGAGCAGCTTTATTTCAGCACAAAAGGTATTTATATGACATCACTTACAGCGAAAAATCCTGAGAAATGTATTCTTCATTGAAGGACAGAAAGGACATGCAGATCATTCTAATAGGAAACCTCAATATCAAGGGTAGGAAACCTCAGCATTCCAGCTATTGTAGAACTACAAGTCCCATGAGGCATTGCAAGACTCTGACAGCCACAAGCATGACTCTGCTATAGCCAGCCATCAGCTTATTTGGGGGTTTTGTAGTTGTAGCACAGCTGGAGTGTTGCAGTTGCCTACCCCTACCACCTTTCCTTCTGAAAGCGCTAGTTACCTGACTGTCATGATAATACAATGGCTACTGATGCAATTA